CCGGCCGCTCCCAGTGCGGGGCCGCAGAGCCCATGCCCACCCCGAACTCGCACTGGCCCTCGAGCTCTGGTGCACAGCCCAGGTTCCTGACCGCGCCTCTCCCTCCACACCTCCCCGCAAGTAGAGGGAGCCAGCTCCGGTCTCGGCCAGCCCAGAGAGGGGCTCCCACAGTGCTGTGGTGGGTCGAGGGGCTCCTCAACCACTGCCAGAATGGATGCCAAGGCTGAGGAGGCGCCGAGAGTGAGGGCTGCTAGCATGTTGTCACCTCTCAAGACCAGCATCCTCACAGACACTCAAGCTTGTAACCTCCTCTCCCCTCCTCACATTTATTTGCCCACCCCAGGGAGTAGGTTCCCAAAGCCTGTCATTCTTTGCCATCACTGAATGAAGCCCTTTATTCTGTGTCTACTATCATCTCTTTAACCTGGATGCTGAATACTAAGCTCCCAGAGGATCTTTCTGCCATCAGCTTCTCCACCCTCCTCCACCCTCTGCCACACCCCCATTATCAGACCAGTCTTCTGACAGCACCACTCTGGACAAAACCTTCAGTAGCTCCCCACTGCTCAATAGTCTTGGCCTAGAATTCAAAGCTCCCCTTGTTGTGGCCCCAACTTTATTGAGCACTTATCACAAGCCAGGTACTCTGTTAAAAGTATTTAAATGTAATTCGTCCATCCAAAATCTCTTTCCAGGAATGTACTTTCTCCCCCACTTCCCCTCCCACTCTCTGAAGTGTTGTGCTGCTATTGATGAGAGGTAAGCATATGATGCAGGCCAGCCAGTGAGAGCATTTCACAGCCTGGCCACAGGCCAGCCAATCTGAGCATTCTACCCTCTGCCACCCCACCGCCACTCTCAGCTTGTTTGTTTGCTTTCTCTCTCTCTCTCTTTCTTTTTTTTTTTTTTTTTTTGAGATGGAGCCTCGCTCTATCGCCCAGGTTGGAGTGCAGTGGTACTGTCTTGGCTCACTGAAACCTCTGCTTCCCGGGTTCAAGCTAGTCTCCTGTCCCAGCCTCCCAAGGAGCTGAGATTACAGTCACGTGCCACCACGTCCGGTTAATTTTTGTATTTTTAGTGGAGACGGGGTTTCGCCATGTTGGTCAGGCTGGCCTCGAACTACTTACCTCAGGTGATCTGCCTGCCTCAGCCTCTCAAAGTGCTGGGATTACAGGCGTGAGCCACTGCGCCCGGCCCCATCCTTAGCTTTCTGAAATATGTGTAGGTGTGGTGGAGAGGGGGCTTCTCTCTTCTGGATTTGAAATCTACACAGAGAAGCAGAGAGGAGAAGTGTGGAGAATGAGAGAGAAAGGGAGACCTGATCACATTGTCTCTCTGGATCCCATGGCGCGTGGGGCTTGCTCTACCTCTGGACTTTACCCAGAGTAAGTCAAAAACGTCCCTTTTTTTCTTCAGCCTGTTTGAGTTAGGTTTGCTGTTACTTGCAACTGAAGCCATGAAAAAAGTGTCAGGGAGAGTGGGGAACTGAGCGACGACTATCTGGCCGGTGGCAGGGAGGTAAAAGAATTGACTAAGACAGACCAGGCGCGGTCGCTCACGCCTGTAATCCCAACACTTTAGGAGGCTGAGGCGGGCAGATCACCTGAGGTCGGGAGTTCACAACCAGCCTGACCAACATGGAGAAACTCTGTCTCTTCTAAAAATACAAAATTAGCCAGACATAGTGGCGCATGCCTGTAATCACAGCTACTCAGGAGGCTGAGGCAGGAAAATCGCTTGAACCCGGGAGGCAGAGGTTGCTGTGAGCCAAGATCGCAGCATTGCACTCCAGCCTGGGCAACAAGAGTGAAACTCTGTCTCAAGACAGTTGTAGGTAGAAAAAGGCAGATTCATTAGAGAAAGTATGAAAATACCTTTCAAGGAAGCAATGGGCAGGCTCAACAGAAAAGGCATTGACTGCAAGGAAACAAAGGCTTGCTGGACGTTTTATAGGACGGTTCTGGGGCTACAGAGTGCCGCACTCAGTACTGATTAACGCCCAGATTGCAGGGAGCTAACTTGGATTTTTTCGTATCAGCGGAAGATCTGGTGATAGCTGGGTGTAGGAAGATTGTGAGTTATTTGTGCAGCAGGGCTGTGCTGGAGCATATACAAAGGCAGACTTGTAGCTTATCTGCTTCTTTTTGCTTTCCCCTGCTCCCACCAGCCTGACTCCCTTTCCCTAATTAGGACGCCAGAGAGAGCACTTAAGAGGGCCTATGTCATTTGATCCTCATGACCACCATGAGGCAAGACTGTTAGTTCACCATTTAGATGGGGAAGGGACACCTGAGTGATAAGCCAGTGCCCAAGGTCTCACAGTTTTTAAGTGGTAGAGACAGAATTTACAGCCAGGCCTATGACTCTGAGGCTGCTCTCTTAATGATGAGTTCCAAGGCCTTCCAGGAAAATGTACCCGGTATTTCCTGTGTGCCGGGCACTAGGCTAAGTGCCACACACTTGTCCTCTCCTCATCTGCTGCTGTTCCCAGAGTGTTCCACACACCCCTCAAAGAGGCCCTAGGTTTTCCCACATCTGCATCTTTACCTGGAACATGCTCTTTGCCCCACCTCTGTCTGGCAATATTTACTTATCTTTCCAATCTTGGATCAAATGTCGAATCTTTCTGGAAGTCTCCAATACCACACTCAGAAGCAAGTACTTCCTCCCTGGAGTCTTAAGGCGTTTGATTTGACCCCCAGGCCAGTCAGCTGCCTTTAAGCGCTGATGACACAGGAACTGGTAGGCATTTCTTAGGGAGAGTGGGGAACTGACAGTCTGAAGTTACCAGATTTAGGTTTTAGTTATTTTGATGGCATCTTGGCAAAACACCACACTTTTCGATAACAAGAAATGCCACTGTCATGGAATGGGCAGTGGCTTTGGGGTAAGACAGGGCTGGGTTTGAATCTGACTCTGCAACTCTAGAGCTTGGGTGACATTAAAAAGATTACCCATTCTCTCTGAGTCTCATTTTTCTTGTCTGAATATGAGGATGAGAGCAGTGTTGATCTTAGAGAGTTGAGAGAAGTCAATGGGATAATGAATGCTAAGGGCTTAGCACAGTGTCTGGTGCCATGTATATATGTTTTTATATAAGGGATTACATCTTAAACTCATTTTTGCCCCTGCATGCAGAGCAGATGCAGGTAACACACATATTATTAAATGAAGGACCAAATCTTATGACTATCCCTCCTTTAAACCTTCCCCTAGTCTTTGATAGCAACTGGCCACCTGTAGTTGCTTAAAGAAGCTAAAGAGAATTGGAAGCAGCAGGATAGAAGAGAGGTAGAGGGAAATGGGAGTCAGAAAATAAACATCCTTTTAAGACAGGCCATCATGCCGGGCGCGGTGGCTCACGCCTGTAATCCCAGGACTTTGGGAGGCCGAGGCGGGCTGATCATGAGGTCAGGAGATCGAGACCATCCTGGCTAACATGGTGAAACCCTGTCTCTACTAAAAATACAAAAAAATTAGCCAGGCGTGGTGGTAGGCGCCTCTAGTCCCAGCTACTCGGGAGGCTGAGGCAGGAGAATGGCGTGAACCCGGGAGGCGGAGCTTGCAGTGAGCTGAGATTGCACCACTGCACTCCAGCCTGGGTGACAAAGCAAGACTCCATCTCGGAAAAAAAAAAAAAAAAGGCCATCATAAGAGCAGTGCAGGTGTTCCAGCAAGGCAAAAACCAGGATTAATTTCGTTCCTTAGATGACCCACTTCATTCCTCACTTTGTCTTTTCTCGGAGGACACTGGGTGAGATGACCAATGACGTAGGCTGCATTGTTCCTTTTGGAATTGTGCAGCGTTCCCAGTTCAATCTTCCTCATAAGCGGGCGTGAGGCAGTGGTGCAGTGGTGGTGCTGCCATGGTGGTAACAGCAGCTGCCCAGCAGCTTCCTGACCTCTGGGTTGAAACTCTGGAGGTGTGACCTTGAAACCAATACTCATGTTATGACCCCTGACTTCTCCAGTCCTTCCAACAATGTTGAAAGCATACAATTATCTTTCTTATATCCCTCTCTGCTTGAAATACTTAGAGGGGTTTCTGTTTCCACCACTTAGCTCTGATTTATACACATAGCATATAGAAACAAGCATATTAAACATTAGTTTTAAATTGGGCATGGTCACACTCCTATATTCCCAGCTACTCAGGAGGCTGATGTGGGAGGATTGCTTGAGGCCAGGAGTTTGAGGCTGCAGCAAGCTATGATTGCACTGTTACCGGTGGAAGACATCAGAGTTACTGGTGGTGAATCTGTACAGGTCTGCAGCAACCTCAGTTCTTGCTTTTTCAGAAGAAAGAATTCAACCGAGGAGCATAAGGCAGAAAAAGAAACTGAGGCAAGTTTCAGAGCAGTTTATTAAAAAAGGCTTATTTTTTTAAAAAAGACTTTAGAATAGGAAAGAAAGGAAAATTCACTTAGACCCAAGCAGGCACCTGAACGTCAAGTGCAGTGTTGAACCTTGATCCTAGGACTTTATAGGCTGGTCCCTTTCCCATGATTCTTCCCTCAGAGTGGGCTGCCCGCATGCACAGTGCCCTCCTTATCCTTGGGAGGTGAGCATTTGCAGTGTTTAGGAAGTTGTACACATGCCCATCTGAGGCTTTCTTCCCTTTTCTGGTGGAGTGCCCTCAGAAGGTCATCCTTTGCCATTTTGTCTCTCTCCTTTTTTTTTTTTTTTTTTTTTTTTTTTGTGAGACGGAGTTTCACTCTTGTTGCCCAGGCTGGAGTACAGTGGCGTGCTCTCGGCTCACCATAACCTCTGCCTCCCGGGTTCGAATGGTTCTCCTGCCTCAGCCTCCCGAGTAGCTGGAATTACAGGCGTGTGCCACCATGCCCGGCTAATTTTGTATTCTTTTTTGGTAGAGGTGGGCTTTCTCCATGTTGGTCAGGCTGGTCTTGAACTCCCAACCTCAGGTGATCCACCCGCCTTGGCCTCCCAAAGTGCTGAGATTACAGCTGTGAGCCACCGCGCCCGGCCTCCATTTTGTCTCTTAATGCACATGCCCAGGAAGTTGTGTCTTCCTGGTGCCTGCATTCAGTTAACACTTCAGTGCAACAGGTGTGGGCCATCAGGAAATGCCTTCTCCCTGGTGCGGGCTGCCAACATATCACTTTTAGAGAGGCAATGTGATCATTGCCAAAACATCACCTGACATTCCTAGCGGGTAGGGGAAGAGCCCTCTCCAGCCCCACTCATGCTTGTCTAACTACCTGTAACAGCGCTACTTGCACTCCAGCAGCCCGAGTGACAGAGTGAGACTCCATCTTTTTTAAAAAAAGAATTTTTACAACGTGAGTCAATTTATTTAGAAAATTACAGAGATATGACAGTTACGAAGATGGTCATCAGTGGTGGGATGCTGAAGTGTGGTAAACACTGGTCATATTTCATAATCATAACCAGGTAGGCATTATCGTCACCTTCAAGAGAAAGCGAGGTTAAATGAATCCCTCAGGATTACATAGCTGTTAGGTAGTGTTTCTGACTCCACAGCTCACTTTCTGAAGCTGGAGAAAGGAGTTGGAACTTGATTTGGTTGTCATCAGAGACCAAACATCAAGTGGCACTGTAACTGCGTCCTGAAGAATGAGTAGGATTTATCCAGTGAGGTGGGGAGGGATTTCCAGGCTGACATGGATAAAGGTGTGGTGGTGTGAGTGGGCACCCTGCGTCTTGGGAACTGATGGAGCCCTGCAGTTCTAGAGCAGAGGAGTTGCATGGAAACGTGACTGGAGGTGATACCTGAAAGGTGAGCAGGAATCTAGTCCTGGGAGTCCTTCAAAGCTGTGATGAGATGACACAATTCTGAAAGTCAAAGAGCCATGGAAGGATGTTAGACAGGGTGACCTATTTGCATGGGAATCTTAGAGAGGTTACTTCATCCAGTGGAGAGCTAGGGCTTAGGATCTAAGCTGATGAGGGAGGGGTGGGCTGAGGAGCCTGTAGGTGTGTGATAAGAACTGAAACTATTTCCCTCCACACAGCTGGCTTTCTACATTGACATCATTTTACTATTTTCCTGTCTTCATTAACATGACTTTACTATTCCAGGAAACTCTTGCCCAGAAAGATATAAGTTACAAATACCTTGTGGTTCATTTCAAGAACTTCCCAAACTCATTTAGATGAATATCAAATGGTTAAGCTTTTCAGTGTAAAACAACAGTTTACTCCCCAGAATCTTTTGAACTCCTTGCCTCAAAATCCCCACCTCACTATGTCCTCCAATCCTAAACTCATATCAAGATCCGTATCAAACCCCATTCCAGCCCCTCCATTGAAATACCTGCCGGGAACCAGACTCCAAAACCTCATCTCCCTTCGTCCTCTGCTTTCTAAACACTGTTAAGACTCTGGCAAGGTTGCTTTCCCTTACTGCTGTGAGACTTGGCTTTATCAAGTAGTAGTAAAACCGCCTTTGCAAAAATTATGACAGTGAGAGAAATCTGATACAGCTGGCGTCATCTTGCTTCTAAAGCCTCACAAGCTGATCCCCTTTGTTAACTTTAAAACAAAGAAGATAACAACCTCTTCCCAAAACTAATCTCCTTCCCAGGAACTGAAACTGTCTTTGTAAGACTCCTGAAAGTCCCCAAGGTTAGGATTATGGGAGGGGCCTGAATTCTGCTAAAATGTAGGCGTAAATGATTACCAGCTATTGTTTCTTAGTTTGCTTTTCTATAAACCCTTACAGCTCAAGGTCACGTAGCTGGAGGGCACAAGATTTGTAACTTCCCCAATCCCAATTGCTCCTACAGATAACATCATTATTGTCAAAACCTAAAATTGATCTTTGAGATATTTTTCAGACTTTTGTATTCTGGCAACCAACTGACTCCACCTGGACCCGTGACTCATACCAAGGAACATGACACCCACACAGAAACTCCCATCCAGAAACTAACTCAGCATGCGAAGGCACTTTGGACTGTTATGCCCAGACCGTTTGTTCCCCAAAGAAGACCACCAGAGTCCA